AAACCTAACTTAGAGCCGTTTAGAACGTGCCTTGAAACCTAAGTTAGAGCCGTTTAGAACGTGTCTTAAAACCTAACTTAGAGCCGTTTAGAACGTGCCTTGAAACCTAAGTTAGAGCCGTTTAGAACGTGCCTTAAAACCTAAGTTAGAGCCGTTTAGAACGTGCCTTAAAACCTAAGTTAGAGCCGTTTAGAACGTGACTTAAAACCTAACATAGAGCCGTTTAGAACGTGCCTTGAAACCTAAGTTAGAACCGTTTAGAACGTGCATTAAAACCTACGTTACAGCCGTTAGATATACCTCGTATAAGGTATGTTTGTTAAGCCTAAAGCGACACAATGGGATATTAGCGCTCTGGCCACCGCAGGTATCGAAATCCAACTTTTAGCGTTATAAGCCCATAGACTTACCACTGAGTCACCGACGAACGCTACACCAAAGCTTGTTTGTTTGTCTGGTTTGAATTCCACGCAAAGCTACACGAGGGCTATCTGCGCTAGCCGTCCCTAATTTAGCAATGAAAAACTAGAGGGAAGGCAGCTAGTCATCACCACCCACCGCCAACTCTTTTACCAACGAAAAGTGGAATTGACCGTCACATTATAACGCTCCCACGACTGAGAGGGCGAGCATGTTTAACGGGATGGGGATTCGAACCCGCGACCCTCAGATTGCGAGTCCTTAAAAGCTATCCTTACTTTTGAGCCAATTGTTAGGCTACTCTGATCGGTTATTGGGATTTGATCGTCACCCTTATAACCACCAACACACACAAAGTGCGGAAATCAATGTTTGTGTGTATGGTGGGGGGGGGGGGGACAGGACGCGAGCCACGGATCTTCGGATACAGAGTCCCGCACGCTACCAAAGACCACGCCCGACCATAAGATAACGTCTCTCATGATTTTTTTTTAATGTATTCAACAACGACGTAAACCAGCTAAAAGGATCGTTTTTCCAATAGAAATCATTACAGAAATCTACACATAGGATAAGTGGATTCTGATAAACAGGCGAGCAGCTGGATCGATTTACTCCGGATTGGAGGATCTTGTTACAGACGGTGAGGTCATTATCGTCTACTGTAATTGTGGATTAAACAAAAAAAAGAGCCAGTCGGTGCTGTACTTTCGCAGCTCCCAATAACGTAACAGGTAGTAATTTTGGATGTTTAACACGAGAAAGTTCTAGTTGCTGTAACAGTACAGAGATCTGGTCGTGTGTAATTAGCGATCGAAAGCGCGTAGAGACCAAGAGAGATGGAGCTGAAAAGTGAGCCAGGGATTAATGGCTGGATTGTCGGTCGTAATCTTGAAAATAGAATTGAGAGTGTGTGTTAAATTGTAGCTAATCGTTTTGTGGAAAAACTTACAACAAGGATTCTGAGACAAATATAGACAAAAACTTTAGACGTAATTCATCTCTTAATTAAAATATACAGAGAGAGATCGCTACATATACCTACAACGCTCGGTTACTTGACAAACGTCTCCTCCTCTCTTACTGCTCGGTGACTTGACAAACGTCTCCTCCTCTACTTACTGCTCGGTGACTTGACAAACGTCTCCTCCTCTCTTACTGCTCGGTGACTTGATAAACGTCTCCTCCTCTATTACTGCTCGGTGACTTGACAAACGTCTCCTCCTCTATTACTGCTCGGTGACTTGACAAACGTCTCCTCCTCTATTACTGCTCGGTGACTTGACAAACGTCTCCTCCTCTATTACTGCTCGGTG